AGTGGGCGGCAGGCCATTGAGGATGTACAAGATTATGTCTTCAGTGTCAACAATCGCACTTGCAGCAGCTATTTGATCGACCAAAGATTTGATTTCGGTAAGGTATTGATTCATGTTTGAGTTCTTGAACGTGATATTATGAAGCTCATTCTTTAATTGAATGACTTTGGACCGATTTGTAGCTTGAAACCGATTTTGAAGAGCAACCCAAATAGCAGCCGTTGTGTCGAGATGGATCACATACGGGAGAACAGGAGCCGAAATTGTGGAGCAGATAGAAGCCGAGATGTTTTGATCAGTTAGACGCCATTTGGAAAATAACGGATTTGTGGAAGAAACACCTTCTTGATTTGTAATCGTGGGAGGCGGAGAGGTAATAGCCGGATCAAGAAAACTTTGAAAACCATTGGCGCAGACGATCTTCAGAACCTGCGATCTCCAAAGCGAGTAGTTGTCGACGGCCAGAGGAATAGAAACCACGTTCTTGATGTTGGAGACCAAGAACTTGAGATTGGAGGGGATGATTTGGTCAGAATCTTCAGTGGAGTTCGGCGAATGATGATCGGCGATGGTGGAAGAAACAGAGTGATCCATGATAAAGGACCTAAACTACTCTTGATACCATGAAGAAACCAATGGATACAAAAGAGAATGCAAAAGGTGAAAGAGAAAACAGAAAAGGAAATTGTATTCGAATCCAATACATTACAGAAATGAGTACAGCCTATATATAGACTAGGTAGCTGTGGTACAGAAGGTGTAAACCAATAGGAATATTTACAGCTCAACACTAAAGTACCTAACGGTAAAACATATCATTACTAATTACGGTTTATGCTCTAATAATGAGCTCGATCAGGTCGGAGAGGAGAGGTCAGTGGGCAACCGGTTAGTCTCGAGCAAGGGAAGCAAGTCAGGTTCGAGTTTTTTGGAATTTTTTTTTTTTTTTGAAATTCCACGGCAAATCCGTCACAAATATTTTTTGCAACGCCGCTTTTTGTGTCAAATTTGTTCCCCGCATAAAGAAACTTTTTTGTAGTGTTTTCTCACAGCAAACTTTATTGCATCAGGTTGATGGGTATACATCACCGGGGATCTCGAGTACACAACGTCGCGCGCTCTGGTACACAGCATCAGAGCGCCCATGGGCGGATCCCAATAGAAGTGAGGGGGGGCAAATGCCCACCCTAAAAAAAAAATTTAAAAAAATTTTAGAGGGTATTTTTTGAAATATTTTGGGTATTTTGCCCCCTCTCAAAAAAAATTTTTGCCCTAATTTTATCAATCTTAATCATTTTTGCCCATACCCTACCAAAAAAAATTTTTTTGCCCACCCTAAAAATAGAAGCTGGATCCGCCCCTGAGAGCGCCGTATAAAAAAAAATCCCGGTGCAAACTTGCAGAGGATCCCACAACAAATACAAGAAATTAACTTAAAATCTGAGGCAACAATCTAACCCGATTAGTTAATAAAATTAAATTCCATACAGACCAACAGCTAGCTCAGAAGACTCACTTTGAAGCTAATTATATATAATAATAATATCACTATCAAAAAAAGCAAAAAATAAGAGAAAACATAAAAATGGGATTACATAATATAAAGATGGAAGGAATATTTTAGGAGAAACATATGATAGAGCATCACATTCCATTCATAGGAAAGTACAACAAACTTGCCTCCTTTTAACAAAACAAAGACGAGGCTCCCACTAAGCTACCTACCCCTGTCCAGTCAATGTGATGTCCTCTTTTGTTAGTTTCAATAATGTGTTGTTGAACGCACTCTTTTAGATTAATCAATCACAAAATAAATTATTTATACTAATCTTAAAACTGTTAAATTTGATGCGAGATTAAATTTGTTAGCTTTAAGTGGAATCTGATTGAATCGATCAATCAAGTTATACTGTTCATTCGTACCGTAATTTTGTTGGTTGAGTTGTGTTGTTGTATGTAGGAGAGATTATTAGGTGTGGAGTGCGGACGGGGAGAACCGTCTGCACAAGCATTTGGTACCTAGCGGTACCCGCATTCGGTACCACTGAGTACCTACCGCTAGGTACCAAGTGCTTGTGCGGACGGTGCGCACTCCGCACCTAATAATTACAACACTACAATATTGTATGTTGGAGTGCTGCAATACTTCAAGAGCATTGCAGTGCTTCAGCCCTAATGGCACGGCATTGAAAGTCGGGCTGAGATGTTTTTCTTCCATCTTATTCTTATTTACTTGAAAGGTTGCATCCTTTGGATGAAAATCTATCTCTCTTCTTTTATTGAGAAGATAACTATGGTGAAGTGAAAAGATAAAAAGAGATAGGAATGTAAGAAGATTGTATAAATTCTCATCATTTTTATAGTGAATTTCTTAGTATGATCGTGGCTTTATATTTTAATGATTAAAATGTAAATAATAGATAAATAAAAAGCCTGGGTAGGAAGCATCGGAGTTCGGATTGAGCCGGCTTGGTTGTCGAAATTGACCGTGGAATATGCGGATTGATTGAACCACGCAAAAAACGTGCAAATTCTTTCTTTCAAAAATAATATCAGAAGAGGGAAATTGCAAGGAAGGGCTCCGAGTGCTGCAGGCTTTATTTTGTAGACTTTTTTTTCTTTATTTGTATTTGGAGCACAAAATTTTATTTATAAAAAAATTGCTTAGGACGGCTTATTTACTACTACTTTAAAAAATCGTCTTTTTTATTTATTTATTTAAGAAGTATGAAAGCCGTTTTAAACAAAACTTTAATATTTTAGATAATAGCCTCGGATTGTAATTCAATAAATTATTAGCATAATTTATAGCCTAAAATGCTTTCATCCAATAATCTTGAAGATTATTTTTAAATTATGAATCAGACAGCAAATCATTTCCTTTACCACAAATTTTTTTAGCCTATCTCGTTTGATTATACAATCTATTTAAGTAACAAGTTGCTATAAGTCCAGATTGACTTTGTCATAAATTCCTATTTTATTGCGCATAGAAATGTAGAAAAGCAATATTTATTAAGCCCTTGTGCCCATTGATATATAATATAGTAAGAAAAAGAAAGAATAAAAAATAGATAATATGATATTATTCTATATTAAAATGGGGCTTTCTTAGAATTTTTCTCTTGCAGTTTTGTTTTGAGTAATTTGACTTTATGCAACTCACGATCGATGTAATTGGTCAAATATTCTCGCCATTTGTTTTCTTGGATGAGTACGCATGAAATATAATTTAGACAAAATTATCTTACATTGTATTCAGAAACCATTTATAGAAGTAGGTCACGATTAACGACTAAATTTGACTTCAACTAATTCAATGATTAGAGCATCAAATCCAACTATCATCACATTCAAATATTGTTAATCCACAAACTCCTATTCTCCTTCACATGCCCCACAATCCCATGATAATTATTACAAGCCAAAGGCTCTTAACTTCCTCTTCTCTTACACATGTCGTTAGTCCCGCAAAGCCTTTCTTGCAAGCTACAAACCTTCACAAATTCCGTACTTCAGTATTACATTTAAAATGTAATAAAATTTATAAT